GCCGAGGGGTACGGCGAGGGCACTGGAGAGGCCAACGAAGGCGGGGGACCGCTTTCTCCTTCGACGGGAGGACCACAGGCCTGCTGTGGACTGCCGGACGAGGAGGAGCCCTGCTGTTGCTGCTGCTGCTGTTGCTGCGGATACAGTCCCCCGTCCTGGAGAGATCCCGGCCCGGGGCCCCATTGCCCCTGGGGTCTCTCCATGTTGTCCTTGTACAATACGTAGGGCGCGCCAGTATCTGCAATCAGACAAGCCGAACGAACCTTTATCGATGCGTGCTCGTGGAAAGTAACAAGCGTCCGCTTTTACTCTTCGCTCGCTAACGGGAATCGGGGGGGATCGGCTCGACCGGATCGTCGTTAAGCTCGTTCATTTTTCGTTAATTACCTACCGTCTTTCAGATTTTCACCGAGGATACTCGGAGTCTCGATTATTTATCGAGACGAACGGTCCGACTATGAAAACGCGTAACGGGATATTCTACTATACATCTGTTACGATTCTTCGAATAAATTAATATAATTAAACGACCGCTACTAAGTTTTTATCGATAATCGGCTATCGCTTCGTTGGTCCTCGTACGCATTCGCGATCGAACGTTCGAAAACATTGCGAAAATGTAGCAAGTTATAAGCAGTGGCTAAAGGACGCGACCAACGCAGAAATTTGCGAATGCACGCCGCTCGTGGGTGTACAGGTTGCTCGTCGCTGTTATAAATAACGATACCGCGTAGCCCTCGATTGGACGTGCTCCGTAAAGTTGCAGCGTGACTTTGTCGATTGGACTCGCAAGAAGAAAAAAGGATAAAAGTAAAGAGAAAAAGGGAATCAAGGTTGTTCCAGTGAATTTATCGCGTTTCAAGCGGTTCGACTGGTCGTCGTTGTCATCCGTCTTCTCGACGAGGCGACGAACGATCGTTCGAACCCCGGGCGTATCTCGTTTAATCTACGATCGGCTAATCGCGTTTCTTCCGCGGGCAAAGTAACGTTCGCGCAAGTTGAAACATTGTGTCGGATCGGTTCACCGGGTGTACGCTTTCTACCACGTTGAGTCGAACACGTTCCTGGTCACGCATGGTCAGATACGTCCGGTTCGAGCTTCGCAAGTTCAACGGCTGTTATGCAGGTCGGATGCACGCGGGGATACACGTCTGTGCGAATGATTTATGAAGTGTTCCACCGTATATCTGCGACGTCGAATCTCCCTGCCCTTCTGTCCGCGCAAAAAACTCTGCTCCGTGCCTCTTTTGTTTCTCTTGCCATCCCGACGTCTTCTCCTCTCCTTCCTTTGCCTTTCTCGCGCTCTTTTCCGACCATTCAACAACGCAACGTATCGACAATTGGAACAACGATCTTAGAATACGGAAGGAGATTAATTGTAACTCTCGAATTTAGCGACTCGGAGAACGGCTACTTTCCGAGGATGTAGCTGATTCTAATGGTTATTCAACAGGTTCTACAATCTCTGACGGTACTTGCCACCAGAGGACCGCTTCAACGACGACCTTGAAGGTCGTTGGATGCGCTTTTTACGAGTTTCGATATTGCGAAAACAACAGTTGTTTCGACGTCTACGGTTCCTCCGCGCGTATCATTTACTTTGCTCTCTGGTTCACCAAAAGCGATGTCGAAATATTTATTAATAGGTTCCCGGTTAAATAAAGCGTTATGCCACGGGCCTGCTAGGAAGCAGTATCCAGTCCACTAGCAGGCCCAAGATAAAATAGCCTCTCTCCGCAGTACCACCGCCACAAAACCACAAAGACACTTGCTTTACTCGGAGTTTCTATCCGAGGTTAGCAAACTCGAGAAGAAAGAAATCGAAGCAGAGAATGAAGTTCAAGTTCAACGGTTTCTCTCCTACTTGTTCGAGCGAGCAATCGAAGAAATCGCGAAAGCCCGGAGAGGATCGGTATCGAAGTAACTCGCCGGACGACGAACGAGCATAATCGAGTGGCTCGCGTTATAGCATCGTGGACGACACGCGTCCCCCGCGATCACCGCTATCGCGCTCAGCTGCATTACGAGGAAAACAACGTTCAAACAGCAGTGCATTTCGTGATTACGAAATTCGCGTTATGCAACCTTACAATGAAGCGTTCACCGTTTTATCGAATTAATTACCCCGTTCTTTATATTCTACTCTTTGCCTCGCACTCCGGTCACGGCTGGATTAATACCTCTTTTTCCAAATATTTTTGATGTTGCAATATTGCGATTCTGGGATATTCTGACCTCTGGATATTTGAACTTTCAGGTAGTGAAATATCAGAATATTGGGACTCTAAAATATTAGGGAACTGGGACTTAAAATATTGAGATCTTTGAAAGAGGAAACCTTGAAATACAGGGACTTGAAAAAATTCGTTGATCGCGATTGGGGTTTGTCCGACTAATTTCGAAACTCCGAGTAAAGAATATAGCGAAGTAGTTTGGCGAAAAACAGAATTAAGTAGAGATTCAGTTTAGTCGGTGGTTAATGGAGGGCTGTCATTGATCGTCGAACGGCGGCGCGTGTATACACGCTCGTAACCGCTCGTCCGACTGTGAGTGCCTCTTCCAGGCTGGCTTTTGTTTTTGCGTCGGGCATGACGCATCGACGGATTATCTTCGCTCGTTCGTTTATTAATATCGAGCCACGCTTTCTTGCGTATACACGCTTCTTTGTATCCGTTTCTTTCGCGTTTGCTTTTTGCCACAGACGAGGGAAGGGAAAGACCACGTATCTATCCGTGGTCGTAGCACACGGTCGCTTTTGTTGTTCGTCGGTGGACGATACGGTTTCAGCGGTGACAAGTGTTATTGAACCTCGAAGCGGGAAAAAGATAGGGACGGCCACGCGGACGGACAGACCGCGAGCGTTAATCGTTGCGGGCGTTAATAACGACGGTGAACGATCGGGCACGCGACGCTCGGAAAAGAAAACTTTACTGTTTTCGCGTAAATCGAACGTTAGTTCGCGGTCACACGGTGGCTGCCACGTACGTCGCTTCGTAGAAGATAGTTTCTAACGTTATTAAAACGAACAAGCGCGTCGTTTCTCTCGATAAAAATCGACACAAATTTTAAGAAAAGCACCTCGACAAATTTTGTAACTTAAAATAAGTAAGTTGCGAACCGGTCGCTTAATCGGTTTCTTACAACTGCAAGAAACTGCAGTCATAAGATTATAGCTCACGCTTGTACACGTTGAACATTTTTGGAACGTTTCTTGGCACAGCATGTTTTTTCCACGTTTTAACGCGCATAAATCAGATCGATCGTGGAACAGCGGTTTCCATGATCGCAAAACGTATATCACTTGCCAAGCACGCGTATCAAAAGACGTATGTAACGATTGGACACGGTTAACAGTATTGGATTGATTTCTTTCGTTCACGTTCGGAGATAGGGAAGAAAAGAAAGATGGTAGGTAGGTTTCTATACGAAAAAAAAATAGCGTATACCATCGCCTATTTTTGATGGTAAATATTGGAAATGTAATTTTAACAGTGTCAAATCTGATGTCATACGTCAGATATTACGCATCATATAATATAAGTCAGTTCATTACCTTTTACCGATAGTAAAAGGATACTATACTCTATGAAAACATCGCGAACGCGATAAGATATTTCCGAACGACGAATTTAGAATAATTATAAAATATTCCGAGAGAATATCTGGAGACAGCGAGTTGAGTCGTTTTCCCCAATTAATGCATCCTGTCGTGATTCTTGCACGCATCGAAAGTGGAAAAAAGGAGCTGGTTTTGTCTGGCGAGTCTCCTTAATGCGAATCGTACGACTTGTTTATTGATTACGGGTCGCGAGTGCGAATACACGTACACACGTATCTCGTGCACGCGTACAAACGTAACGCGTAAGTACGTGCACGTTCGTGCAAACTCATTAACGTAATTAATGATACGAGAGACCGTTTCAGTAACAGCCGGCGGAATAAATAAGCGATAATGTTATGTAGATGCAAGCGATCAATCCTGACGTCGCGCGATAAGGAAGTAAAAACGTGGCAGCGGGTGAAAAAATGAATCGCGATCGGACGTTTCTACTCGCCGAAAAGCATCGAAAACTTTTCGCCATGCTCCAGATCTCGTTCGACAAAATTTCATTGTCGAAAAAAGAGAAGGCGCTAGTACCGTACCATTCGAGGTATTAACCGAGAAGCTTAAATCGGGAAACGAAACTATTGCTATCTGAATAATTACAATTATTAGTGACGACGTATCGAGATCGATTTTACCATGGCATTTAACGCGTTAATTGAACCCATCCGAATCTGATATACCCTTCGTGTGATGTCTATATTTTTGCGTATCTTCCCGTCTTTAAATCTGAGCTTTCAAATATTTTATATTAGTAGAGACATTTTTTATGTCAACTTAAGTGGTACAGAATACGAGAAACATAGTAGAACAAGAACGTAAATTGATTACGTGCGATGACAGTTTTTTTCTAATTGCCATTGTCTTTCCATCTTAAAGGTGCAGGACAAACGCGAATGGATTAATCATCGAAATATTCATCCGTGGCGAGGAAACGATGTTTGTTTTTCTGCATAATTTTCCTGGTTTATATTCGACGATTATCCTATTACAACGCGTGAAAACATACGAGGATAAATATAGACGACGATCCTAATCTTGCGTTATTATTGCTTGATACCTTTGCGGATAAAGATTCAAATTGTTACTTAAGCGCAAACTGAATGAGAAAATACATCGAGTGTTTATTAAATTTTCATTGGACGAACGAGATTTTCTACCCGCGAACTTTTATCGGAACGGAATGTGTTACATCGACTACGTTTACATAACTTGTTCTGTACGCTCCGATATCTCGTTCCAAAAATATTATATTCTCTACAAAGTGATAATCGTAATAAGCGTACGAAAAATACTTGGTTCGTGTAATTTTCATGTAAGTCTATTAAACTACTGTATCGTCGATGGAAAACTATTAATAGGCTCGCGATGGAAAATAGATAAAATATTTCGGTGACGTAACGAGTAGGGATCCAATGTGCGATAATCCAGTTCGTGACATCGCGGTGAGTCAACGCGTGGTAATTCGACGCTCGGCGATCTAACGCACGGTGATTTAACGCGTGGTAATCCAACGCGTGATAAGCCAACACGTGGTGATCGGAAGCGTGGTAATTCGACGTTTGACGATCTAACGCGAAGCAATTGAACGCGCGACAATCGAAGAAATCCGATTTTCCGCGTTTCCTGAATTT